GATTAACCTTATCTGGACTCCATGACCATCCCTCAGGTCCATTTATCTTGAGAATGAACGAGCCCTGTGAGAAGAAAGAGTAGAAACTCAACACAAATTCATCTTTAACAGGCCCAGACAAAAGCAAGACAAGGCTTGATGAATACCTTGTCATATACAGGGATGAAATAGTAACCATTTGGAGCACACTGTGTACTGTCCTTTACCAATCCATCTACTGTTTGAAGCTCAACCTTTGTAATTTGAAAGGGAACCCCAAAAAAAAAGGGAACAAATCAGCGAAACATCACAAAGAAAATGAAAAACGATCAACGAACTGAAATTCTTACCGTGATGTGAGAATAATCCAGTTTCCCATCAGCTCCTTTCCGAGACCTAACCAAAGACGAACTCGCCTGCACGTTTAGTAATTCATCATCGTCAATACATCACATCCACAAAAACCCAGATCCGATCGTACTTAAACCAACAATAACAATTCTTCGGATTGTAGAATCTCAGATACAAGTACGTAAACACATCAAGCTGGTCCAACTAAAATGAATCTACCATCTAAGCAAACATCGTCACTATTCCAATACTACACACTCACTAGTAATCGATCAGAAACTAATCAGAACGATGGATAAAACGAATCGGAAAAAAAAAATAGAGATAAACCTCGACAAAACCACCGCAGCCTTTAATCGAATCTGCGGAAACAGCGTGGACTGTAGAAATCGCTATGAGGAAGACGATCAGAGAATGAAGAATCTTCGTATTAGTCGCCATTGTTCCCGATGATAAGCTCCGGCGGCGACGGAGCTCAATGGTTGAACTTAGAAAGAGAGTGTTGGTGTTCGTCAATGGAGGACGGATCCAAAATATCGGACCGATGATGACTCCGATCTGAATATCGCGGTTGGTTTTTAATAAGGTAGCTCGACTCTTCCAGGGTTTAATGGGCTTTTTGAAAAAATATGAGGCCCGTTTATAACAAAATCATAAGTATATAAATCTTTTTGTTTTTTTTGCTCACAACAAAATCATAAGTATAAATCTTTTTGTTTTTTTGGTCACAACAAAATCATATAAATCTTAAGTTAACAACCAGAAAGTTTCGCATTCTTGATTTGAGACAATTTAAAACAATATACTTATTACATTTCCAACTTTTTAAAACATATGCTAAAATTTACATCATATTTTAAAAACAAAATTAAACTTGTTACATTTCCAACCGTTACAAAAAAACAAAATTTAAAGACTTAAAATTTTTAGTGAAAACAAATAATTATCCAAAAATTGAATGCTAATTCACAATATGTTGTGTTCACAAGATGAATTTGGCCCCGCTGACGATCAAAGACATCGATCAATGACAAGTTACCACCTCCGAATAATTTTCACAATACTCCACTCAACTTTTTCTAATTAAAATATAAAAAAAAATTAAAATATTCGGTGAAAACAAATAACTATCCAAAAATTGAATGCTAAATTCACATTATGTTGTGTCCACAAGACGAATTTGGTCCCGCTGACGATCAAAGACATGGTCAATGACAAGTTACCAARTCCGAATGGTTTCCACAATTATATAAATTACCACTCAACTTTTTTCTAATT